GCTAATGGGGTCTCCCGCTGTCGCCGCGCTGCCGGAGCACAATTTCTGTTCTCATCCTGAAGCGAAGTTCTTAACCCGAGGTACTATTTCTGGGTTAGCGGAGTCTGTAACCTGAAGCGTCTGTAATCTGAAGCGTCTGTAACCCAAGGTACCACTAGTTTCATTTTCCTACTCACATTGAAATACAGCCCCTCAATGAGGCCAAACTTAGATTCACAAAATGCTTAGGGGCATGGGTACCCCTGCGTACCCCCAGAAAAAAAGCACGGGCCACGTGACCCGGACAAAGGCCGGCTCCCTCGGCCTGAAAGCGAGATGAGCGCTGCAACCCCATAGTTGCCTTTGACTGGATTTAACTGTCCAAGGGTCCTTTACCTTTAAAAAACAAAACAAAACAAAACCTTTGCTCAATCATGGGCATGTTTTGCCCTAAGGGGAAGAAAGGCAGGATATGAATTAATAAATAGCTGGAAGTGCCCAGGATTGAACTCAAAATATTCTGTATTGCAAAGCCCGTGCCTTCCCACTGAATAATAGGCCCTTCCGTGCCTTGTAGTTGTTGTTTAGTCGCTTAGTCGTGTCTGCCTCTTCGTGACCCCTGGACCAGAGCACGCCAGGCCCTCCTGTCTTCCACTGCCTCCCGCAGTTTGGTCAAACTCATGCTGGAAGCTTCGAGAACACTGTCCAGCCATCTCTTCCTCTGTCGTCCCCTTCTCCTTGTGCCCTCCATCTTTCCCAACATCAGGGTCTTTTCCAGGGAGTCTTCTCTTCTCATGAGGTGGCCAAAGTCTTGGAGCCTCAGCTTCAGGATCTGTCCTTCCAGTGAGCACTCAGGGCTGATTTCCTTCAGAATGGAGAGGTTTGATCTTCTTGCAGTCCATGGGACTCTCAAGAGTCTCCTCCAGCACCAGAATTCAAAAGCATCCATTCTTCGGCGACCAGCCTTCTTTATGGTCCAGCTCTCACTTCCCTGCCTTACCAGTGACTGAAAAAGGCATTTCTTAGTCCCTTCTGCAGCTGTGCCTTTCATAGACAGAGCACTCAGCTAATGATGCAGTGGAAAGGAAGACAGGAGATGGCATGACTTGTTGGTTCCATCTGCTCCAGCGAATTTTGCCTTGGCAGCTGGCACTAAACAGGGAGACTACTGTCTTAGGAAGACAGAATCACTGTGGCCATCAATAGGATCTCAGTGAGAAGCGTGCTCCATGCAGAAGTGATGTCTTTACTCCCCTGGGCCATGTTAGATTACAGCTGTCGATGCCCATGCACCCTCATCGAACCCATTTCATTTTAATCATTATTATTATTATTATTATTATTATTATTATTATTATTATTTATACCCTGCCCTTCCTGGTTCAGAAAACCGGGCTCAGGGCGGCTAACAACAAATTTAAAACACTTAATTGATGCAACAAAAAACAGCATAATTTATTATTATTATTATTAAATGGCTATGTATAGTGAATACTTATCTACTTTTAAAAATTTTCACCTATGATCCTTTTCTTTTACTTCTCTATTTTTTCTTTGTTCTTTTTTCCTTTTTTCTGATATCTTATCTTTCATTTCACTCCTTTATTGTGAATAGCATTTTATAGACGTATAAATAACTGTAAATATGAAAAGAGGCAAAGTATTTTTTTTCCCTTGGTTATATGTATTTTCTTTTTCCTTTGTATTTTCTTTTGTTGTAAATATGTATGTTTTCTAATTTGTACTTAATAAAAATTATTAAAAACAAAAACAAAAAAACCCAGCATAAAATACAGCATAAAACGTGAATAACAATAAATTCAGAATTCAAAAATCAATTTAGGGGGGAAATCCACCCGATAAACATTTGATGATCCCCAGGGCTAGCTGGCTAAGTTAGTCCTATTTGGGCCAGTGAGGAGACCAGGGGAGAATTAGCTGTGGGATCCCAGAGCGGGTAATCTTCATAAAAAGGGGAGGGGGAGGGAAGGGAAGGGAAGGAAGGGGAATAAAAGATCAGACTAAGCTCCCCCCATCGTGGGGATTCAAACCGCCGACCTTCCGATCGGCAAGTCCTAGGCTCTGTGGTTTAACCCACAGCACCAACCGCGTCCCTTGGGCTGCAAAAGCCAACCCCAAATTTTGAGTATAGCAATGGCTGCTTGCATATTTTTTGCATGGGGAGGGCTTGAGCTGCTTAAAGCATCTTAAATAAATTAAAAATAACAAACAGCTGCAGGAACCAACCTGGGGAAGTCTTCATCCTGCCATTCCTCTTTCACATCCACGTTTTCCATACGCAGGGTGGCCTCGGTAGTCCCCATGTTGCTTCGGATAAAGGATTCGGCAGCACAGCAAAGTTAACCTGCTGTTGAGCTCAGTCTGCAAAAGAAGATGCAAATATTTTTTTGGGGAGGGGGATAATAGAGAGGGGAACCATTTACTTTACCCTGGGGTAAAGTAAATCATTCACAGGCAACGTTTGGAATACAGTAATAAGTTTATTATTTATTAGATTTGTATACCGCTTTTCCTTTCATATATGCACAAAGCGACACACAATAAAGAATGCAAGTCAATACATATTTTTGTTTGATGTCAAATCAGCTACAGTTTTCATTCCACATTTTGCCGACCTCCTGTGCTGGTCCCACAACCTTTAGACCAGAGCTGTTGTTGTTTTTTTACCCTGGGACCCACTTGAGATAATTGAACATCAATAAAGTCCACCATACCTTTGGAACTGGGACAGAGCAACGGGATCTCACCCCCGTCACAGGGATTCGAACCGCCAACCTTCCGATCGGCAAGCCCAAGAGGCTTGGTTTAGACCACAGTGCCACCCGTGTTCCCCTGGCCGCTGTGATAACAGGGTGCTGGACTAGACAAGCCATTGGCCTGATCCACCAGGATTTTCTTAGGTTCATTTTATTTCACAGAAATTACATACCATTTGATTGTAAGGAAACCCTCTAAGCTAGCCTTTCTCAGCCTTGGGTCCCCAGATGTTTTGGCCTACAATTCCCATCATCCCTGACCACTGGTCCTGTTAGCTAGGGGTGATGGGAGTTGTAGTCCCAAAACATCTGGGGACCCAAGGCTGAGAACCACTGCAAGCAGTTAGCAACGATGTACCAAAGTAGCTCGAGGGATGTGGGTGGCACTGTGGGTAAACCACAGAGCCTAGGACTTGCTGATCAGAGATCGATGGTTCAAATCCCCGCGATGGGGTGAGCTCCCATTGCTCAGTCCCTGCTCCTGCCAACCTAGCAGTTCGAACGCACCTCAAAGTGCAAGTAGATAAATAGGTACCACTCTGGAGGGAAGGTAAACAGCATTTCTGTGCACTGCTCTGCTTCGCCAGAAGCGGCTTGGTCCTGTTGGCCACATGACCCGGAAGCAGTACGCCGGCTCCCTCGGCCAGTAAAGCGAGATGAACGCCGCAACCCCAGAGTCAGCCACGACTGGACCTAATGGTCAGGAGTTCCTTTACCAATGTAGTTCAGGGCAGTTCCCTGTCCCCAAGGAGCTTACAACATAAAACTGATTTGGAGAAGGGCTGGAAGGAGTGAAAAAGGCAAGATGAACATGACTTGAATGTGAGCAATGCAGTTACATTGTTGGGCTTTGCTGGGAATTGAAAGCAATGCTGCACGAACCACTGTTCACAGCTGGGAAAGACTCATCAGTTTGCTACCAGCTAGTGTAGACACAGGTCGCGCTGTGGTCTAAACCCCTTAGCCTCTTGGGTTTGCTAATCGGAAGGTTGGCGGTTCGAATCCCCGCGACAGGGTGAGCTCCTGTTGCTCTGTCCCAGTTCCTGCCAACCTAGCAGTTCAAAAGCACACCAGCACAAGTAGATAAATAGGTACCGCTGTGGCAGGAAGGTAAACGGCGTTTCCATGCACTCTGGCTTCCGTCACGGTGTCCCGTTGTGCCAGAAGCAGTTTCGTCATGTGGCCACATGACCCGGAAAGCTGTCTGTGGACAAACGCCGGCTCCCTCGGCCCAAAAGCAGGATGAGCGCCACAACCCCATAGTTGCCTTTGACTGGACTGAACCATCCAGGGGTCCTTTACCTTTACCTTTCTTAAGTGTAGCAATACTTAGCTAAATGGTCTGGCAGCTTCCTGCGTTCGTATTTAACAAAGGGTCTTCGTTAAAGATGATGAGGACTAGAATCTTCGGGGGTCCTCCAGACATTATTTTGCGCACTGGTGATGCTTAGCACACCTGATGCTATTGGGGCATCTGTGCCTAATTCCATTTTCAATACCGTTTGCTCTTGCAAAGGTTTTGGGGCAGCCACAAGCCTTTGTTTCCTGCCCTGCAACTTTCTGCTGAAAACCGCACACCTTTTTCACAGCACATATGCTTGGGTTTATTTCTGGGCCCCTTGGGTGCGCTACAGCCCCTCCAAAAAGCAGTGGTTTTGGGTAGCATTGGGGAAGCACCCCAGAACAGAACCAGCCCCTCCGCTATTACGTTATGATTCTCGTGCCAAAGACATGTTGCAGACCACACCGGCCTGGAAGGGCTCTGCCTCTAGAGAAAGCTGCTATGCTTTAGCAGGAGATCACTGGCATTACTCAGAGATGGCAGAGACTGAAGCAAAAAGGCTGCCTTCGAATGCCCCAAAATGAGCCATCTTAAATGCTCAGCGTGGCTGTGCTGCGCGTCGCGCAATACGGCCTTGATTACTCCATCGTTCCCTTTTCTTCCGGGCTGTCTGTCTCCCCGGACAGAAAGCCGAGCCGATTTATAACCATCCTTTCCCGGAGCGGAGAGCTCCCTTAAGGCTGTAAAAGCAAGTGCCATGTTAGCTCTTAGAAGGCATCTACCGCCAATCCTTTTCCTCCCTCCCAGCGACATCTCAGGGTCTCCGTTCTGACAGTTCCACGAAGATGCTCGGCTGTAAAGCCGCAGAGCTCCCCATACCCCACGGAATCATCTCACAGCTTCCCTGCCATCATCATTGCGCTGGGTAAAGTGGGGGGGGGGGCATTTGCACAGCCACCGCCATGCCGTTATTCCCAGAGAAGCAAATTTCTCTACTTACTGCCTTTGACGCTCAAAACGTTCTCTCCAAATCCCAGCGGCGCATCCTCGCTTTACGCACAAAGCCTCTCTTTCGGGTGCCAAACGCCTTAGCTCCGAGAAGCAGCGCTTCGGAGGATGAGCTGGCTGCATGTGCGGTACCCGAGGAATCCAACCCGGCCTTCATCCGCCTCGCTTCTTCTTCCCCTCCATCCCCGCCACCCTCCCTCTCCCCGGATAAATCGATGTCTCTGGCTATGCGCCCCCAACTAGCCGCGCGCGATGACTTCGCTTCCGCGCGGCGTCGCTCTCCAAGGTATTTTGCGCTTTAATTTCCAACGCCGCGCCCCGGTGGCAATCTGCAGAAAGCTTAAACCCACTGAAAGCCGGCTTTAATTGCTTTGCTTTTGTGCGCCGCCGGGGATGGGGGAGCAACGAGATACGTGGGTGGGGAGGAGGTGTTCGGCTCCATCCGTTTTAATTAGATATTGAGCATCCGGTCCAGGAAAAGCCTGGAGGAAGGAGGACGCGTTGGTTCCCCCCCTCGTTTCGTGTGTGTGTGTGTGTGTTTTACCCAAATGGCATCATTTGCTAAAAACAAAGCTTGCTTCACCAACTCTTTCTTCCTCCTAGCAGATATCTCGCAGGGAAATGGAAGCGGTTGGAGTCAAGGAGGGGACACAAGAAGCTTCGAGAAAAACCGCTGCCAAATAAGATAAAAAGCTTGGACGTTTTGTGAGCCGAGGACTTTTCAAGAGGGGCGAGGCAGATCTGTTTGCATACAGTCAAGTCTTCACGGAGCAAAAAGGATGAAAAGTTGACGCAACCTGTGACGATTATAGTGTTTGTTTGTTTTTGGTAAAATTGAAAACACAGAGCCCAACTTATGATCGTGAATGGCATGGGGGGGGGGGAGAGGTTTTTCACCTTATCCCATAAGAACCTGAATTTGGAATTCCCCCAATGAAATGCATGGGTTTTTAGATCATAGCTGTCAACTTACAGATTTGAAAATAAGGGACCAGCAGCCTCGAAAATAAGGGATCAGCAGCCAAAATAAGGGATTTTCCAAGCACAGATATGTTCAACTTCTGAGCCCCTCCGAGCCAAAGGCAGAAAGCCCAGCCAGCAGCCAAACGAAGCCTCATCAATAAGGGACAGCAGCGGGACATGGCACTGGGATAAGGGACTGTCCCGCCAATTAAGGGCTGCTTGACAGCTATGCTTTAGATGTAGGAAGGCTGCAAAGGAAAACACTTCTTCAGGAATTCCACCACAAGATCTGGTGATGGCCGCAGGTTGTTTTTTTAAACATTTTCTTTATTTTTACAAAATTTATATACAGTGGTACCTCGGGTTAAGAACTTAATACGTTCCGGAGGTCTTTTCTTAACCTGAAACTGTTCTTAACCTGAGATACCACTTTAGCTAATGGGGCCTCCCGCTGCCGCCGCGCGATTTCTGTTCTCATCCTGAAGCAAAGTTCTTAACCCGAGGTACTATTTCTGGGTTAGCGGAGTCTGTAACCTGAAGCGTCTGTAACCTGAAGTGTCTGTAACCCGAGGTACCACTGTATACCGCTGGATTGCAGAAGAACATCAAAGTACTTGGCAAAAAAAAAAGTTGAAGCAATGAAATGATCATAAAAAAAAATCTAAAACCTATAGAAAGTTGACATCGCGGTGAAACAGACTGAAGCAAATCAAGCCTGCAAGCTTTCTAAACACCTGCTTAGGCTGGTGTTTAGATGAGCGTCTTCAGCAGGTACCTCGGTCCAGTATACCGGAAGGAGCGTCTCCACCTCCATCGTTCTGCCCAGACACTGAGGTCCAGCACTGAGGGCCTTCTGGCGGTTCCCTCGCTGCGAGAAGTGAGGTTACAGGGAACCAGACAGAGGGCCTTCTCGGTGGTGGCGCCCTCCTGTGGAATGCCCTCCCACCAGATGTCAAAGAGAAAAATAACTACCAAACTTTTAGAAGACATCTGAAGGCAGCCCTGTTTAGGGAAGCTTTTAATGTTTAATAGGTTACTGTATTTTAGTGTTCTGTTGGAAGCCGCCCAGAGTGTCAGCCAGATGGGTGGGATATAAATAATAAATTATTATTATTATTATTATTATTATTATTAGGAAGAATACAGTGAAGGCACCTAACTGGAATCAATAGGCAGAGAGTTCCAAAGTTCCAGCTAAACAACTGAATTCCTAAAAGATACAGAACGGGAATTCGGTGGCCCTTGGGAAAATGCCAATTCTGATGATCGATGCGGTCAAGTGGTCACATGTGGGGCAAGGCAATCTTGTAGAATTATAGAATAGTAGAGTTGGAAGGAGGGACACGGGTGGCACTGTGGGTTAAACCACAGAGCCTAGGACTTGCTGATCGGAAGGTCAGCAGTTCGAATCCCCGCGACGGGGTGAGCTCCCGTTGCTCGGTCCCTGCTCCTGCCAACCTAGCAGTTCGAAAGCACACCGGTGCAAGTAGATAAATACGTACCGCTCCAGCGGGAAGGTAAACGGCGTCTCCGTGCACTGCTCTGGTTCGTCAGAAGCGGCTTAGTCCTGCTGGCCACATGACCCGGAAGCTGTACGCCGGCTCCCTCGGCCAATAAAGCGAGATGAACGCCGCAACCCCAGAGTCGGCCACGACTGGACCTAATGCTCAGGGGTCCCTTTACCCTTTACCTTTAGAGTTGGAAGGGAACCCCACGTTTCATCTAGTCCAACCCTCTGTAATGCAGGAATCTCGGCTGACCGATGGCCACCCAACCTCTGCTTAAAATCTCCAAGGAAGGAGAGTCTACCATCTTCCAACGGAGACCGTTCCACTGTCAAACAGCTCTTACTGTCAGAAATTTTTTCCTGATGTTGCGTCGGAATCGCCTTTCTTATTACTGGAAACTGTTGGTTTGAGTCCTGCCCTCCAGAGCAGGAGATGATCTCATAGGTAAACAGATCCCAAGTCATGGCCTTCTTTACCTGGGGGTGCAAGGGGTGCGGGGCATCTGGGCGCTGATTTTGGGAGGGTGCCCACCCTGAAGCCGCCTAAGCTCTTCACTATCTACCTGTTATGAAATAATAAATAATTTTGATCAAGCTAGAAAAACAAAATACATATATACCAAAATGTATACCTAGGTAAAGGTAAAGGGACCCCTGACCATTAGGTCCAGTCGTGGCCGACTCTGGGGTTGCGGTGCTCATCTCGCTTTATTGGCCGAGGGAGCCGGCGTACAGCTTCCAGGTCATGTGGCCAGCATGACTAAGCCGCTTCTGGCGAACCAGAGCAGCGCACGGAAATGCCGTTTACCTTCCCACCGGAGCGGTACCTATTTCTCTACTTTCACTTTGACGTGCTTTCAAACTGCTAGGTTGGCAGGAGCAGGGACCGAGCAACGGGAGCTCACCCCGTTGCAGGGATTCGAACCGCCGACCTTCTGATTGGCAATCCTAGGCTCTGTGGTTTAACCCACAGCGCCGTTTCACTAAAAGACTTTCCGCTTTGTGTGCTCATTTACCAAAGATGCGCCGCGCCAGCGGTTGCGCTTGTCATTCACAACGGCGGCGCTTGTCAGACTCAATGAGTACAGTGGTACCTCGGGTTAAGAACTTAATTCGTTCTGGAGGTCCGTTCTTAACCTGAAACTGTTCTTAACCTCAAGCACCACATGAGCTAATGGCGCCTCCCGCTGCCGCACGATTTCTGTTCTCATCCTGAAGCAAAGTTCTGAACCTGAGGTACTATTTCTGGGTTAGCGGAGTCTGTAACCTGAAGCGTCTGTAACCTGAAGCGTCTGTAACCTGAGGTACCACTGTATAGGGGAGAAGCGTTAAACACTAGTCATAATATGGAACGTAACAAAAGAAGTGTAAATGTAATCACAGGTGCCGAAAAACAAAAGCTTAGAAGATAACGTTGTTTTCCAGATATAAATGGGAACATTTTTCATCAAACAAACTATTTTGGTCACACATTATTAAATTCGTATCTGTACAACTGTGGCATATGAAGGAAAAAAGAGTGAATGAATAGCTATTCCAATGAAAGGCATAATCTTTATAGATTTTTTATAAAATCTCAAAGGTGAGAGGTTCTTTTATATTCTGTTGGAAGCTGTCCAGAGTGGCTGGGGCAACCCTGTTAAACGGGCGGAGTATGAATAATAATAATAATAATAATAATAATAATAATAATAATAATAATTTATTAAATTTACATACCGCCCTCCACCCAACAAACACAGGCCGATTTGCAGCATAAAAAGCACAAACATGTGTTGCACCCTATTAAAAAACGACAACAAAAGTAACACAAAATCCCAGTGCCTCCATTTTGTAGCCGTCGCCAGTTGGTGTGTAGACAATGGGCCAACAGCCTGACTCCAACTGGGGCCATTGAGTTTCCCATTTGTTTTCCTTTGAGACCCATAGCCCCAGATTATTATTATTATTATTATTATTATTATTATTATTTATACTCTGACCTCCCCAGCCAGAGCCGGGCTCAGGGCGGCTAACAACAGTAAAAATTACAGTAAAAACATAATAGGGAAGAAAATAAACCAATTTAAAATACAGGTTAAAATGCAATTTAAAATGCAGCCTCATTTTAGAAGTAGCCCATAAATCAAGTTCCCTTTCGTGAACTCCAAGCTCCCTGCCATAGTTATGCTCCCTTGGACGGATGCCAACGAAGGCAGCTCCCAGCTGGGTCAGGTGGCAGGGATCAGTTTACCTTGGCGACGGTTGCCAGGCAACGGAGTCCGTGTCGCCCGGCGACGGTTGCCAAGGAGACTCTCTCGGCGCTGCTGCTCCCAGCCCAGGCCTCTTGGAGCCAGAGGCTGCTGCGAGCCGCCATGGCCTCCACGTCGGTGATCCTCAGCCGGGACGGCACGGCGGCGGGACCCTCTGCCACCTATTCGTACTGCAACCGTCCCAGGCCGTTGCCGGGCAGGCAGAGGTACCGGACCTCCATCGATGCCAACGACACGTGAGTACCTTTAGGCTCCGAGGCTGGACCGGGGAAGGAAGGGCTCAGCCCAAAAGAGTCAAACCGACATTCGTGATAGACTACAGCAATGCGCTCCCCGTGGGGCATCCCTTGCACTCAGCCCAGAAGCAGAATGCCGGCTGAGGCCTTGCCAGCGCATAATGCTAATAATAATAATAATAATAATAATAATAATAATAATAATAAATTATTTATACCCCACCTGCCAACCTAGCAGTTCGAAAGCACGTCAAGTGCAAGTAGATAAATAGGTACTGCTCCGGTGGGAAGGTAAACGGCGTTTCCGTGCGCTGCTCTGGTTCGCCAGAAGCGGCTTAGTCCTGCTGGCCACATGACTCGGAAGCTGTACGCTGGCTCCCTCGGCCAATTAAAGCGAGATGAGCGCCACAACCCCAGCGTCGGCCATGACTGGACCTAATGGTCAGCGGTCCTTTACCTTTACCTCACCCATCTGGCTGGGTTTCCCCAGCCACTCTAGGTGGCTTCCAACAGAATATTAAAATACAATACAGTGGTACCTCGGGTTACAGGCGCTTCAGGTTACAGACTCCACTAAGCCAGAAATATTACCTCGGGTTAAGAACTTTGCTTCAGGATGAGAACAGAAATCGCGCAGCGGCAGCAGGAGGCCCCATTAGCTAATGTGGTGCTTCAGGTTAAGAACAGTTTCAGGTTAAGAACGGACCTCCAGAACAAATTAAGTTCTTAACCCGAGGTACCACTGTAATCTATTAAACATTAAAAGCTTCCTTAAACAGGGCTGCCTTCCGATGTCTTCTAAAAGTTAGTTGATTTTCTCTTTGACATCTGGTGGGAGGGCATTCCACAGGGCGGGTGCCACCACCGAGAAGGCCCTCTGCCTGGTTCCCTGTAACTTGGCTTCTTGCAGCGAGGGAAGCGCCAGAAGGCTGGGCCTCAGTGTCCGGGCAGAACGGAGCTGATAAACAGCTGCCCTGGACACAGAATTGACCTGCGCCTCCATGGACAGCTGTGAGTCCAGAATGACTTTCAGGCTGTGCACCTGGTCCTTCAGGGGCACAGTTGCCCCATTCAGGACCAGGGAGTCCTCCACACCTGCCCGCCTCCTGTCCCCCCAAAACAGTACTTCCGTCTTGTCAGGATTCAGTCTCAATCCGTTAGCCACCATCCATCCTGCCAAGTTCAAGGAGCCCCTGTTGGGGTTTAAAACCTTTAACAACCTGGGACTGGCTTACCTACGAGATCACCAGGCAGAAGGCCTTCTCGGTGGTGGCACCCGCCCTGTGGAACGCCCTCCCATCAGATGTCAAGGAAATAAACAACGATATCTGACTTTTAGAAGACATCCGAAGGCAGCCCTGTTGAGGGAAGTTGTTAATGTTTGATGTTTTATCGTGTTTTTAATATTCTGTTGGGAGCCGCCCAGAGTGGCTGGGGAAAGCCAGCCAGATGGGTGGGGTATAAATAATAAATTATTATTATTATTATTATTATTACTACTACTACTACTACTACTAGATTCTTATGCTGGTGCTACAGGCCTTCCAGCCAAGATGGGCGATGCTTCGTCGCAGAGGACAGCATATCAGAAACGGCATAATAATAATAATAATAATAATAATAATAATAATTGCACATGAACTGAAGAATAGCCAGAGGAAGTAAGCAACACAGACACATGTTTGCAAGAGGCTGGTGTAGTGTCACTGCTTATGTAAATACTTCAGACAACCCAAACGCTCCCAATATATGGGTTTGTTACCTGTTTGCTTTTGCTTTTGGTCGGTTTTAAATGTTCCGCTTTTGTTAGAAAACGGAATTGTTTTATTTTGTTTGCTTCTGATGCTTTTCAGTTGGGAATGGTCTTGATATTGTAATGTTTTTTTCTCCCTCTCTCTCTCTCTTTCTGGATAATTTTTATATATGCTGTGAAATTTAAGAAAGCGCTGGAAAGAAAGAAAGAAAGAGGTGCAAAGAACAAACTTGCTGCTGTTGTTATTTTGGTTGTTGCTTTTAAGTGTGTGCGGCTGCCCAGTTGGTTTGCAAAGGAATCATGGAATGGTAGAGTTGGAATGGGGACCCTCAAAGGTCCTCTAGCCCAACCCCCTGCAACGCAGGGATCTCAGCTAAAGTATCCATGATAGATGGCTAGCCGACCTCAGCTTAAGAGTGTTTTTAAAAATTTAAAAATTAAAACTGCTTCTCCTTCTACAAAATAAATAGAAATCCAATGTGTGATTTTTCTCTTCTTGCAGAGTTAGAACCAAACGATTCCCAGTTCATTTTAAAACCACGCAAAAACAGTAATAAGAACGTTCTCTGCGTTAGCTCTCAAACTACGTCATTCTCATTTTCGCTGGGAGTTGAATACAAAAGCACAATTTCATGTCCTTTTTAGCTCACATTTTTAAAGAACACATTTGTTTCAGGGAAGAAATATCATGGCGCCTATATTATTATTATTATTATTATTATTATTATTATTATTATTATTGCTATAAATAGGCCCGGAACTCTGTAAGAATTTCTATCACAAAATCCCCCTGGGCACAAATACCTCTGACAGGTTTGCAAACTTGCAAATTAAGGAGAGCTTATTTATTCTCACATAGCCTTGCAGATTTAGCAGCAGGAACAGGGACAGTGACACCCTGCTCTCTTCCGCTTCGTTGCTAATTTATGCTAATTTATTTCGAATCCTGTCCCTCTTCATGTTTTTTCTTCCAGGGAAGAGGAGCCCTATCACTATGCCAACCTCATGTATGAGAGGCGAGTCGTTCGGGGCAACACCTATGCCCTTCACATCTTACCATGGGTGAGTTTTCCTTCTCCCGTAAACTTTGACATATCTATGTATCTATTTCGACTGCACATTCCAGGCAAAAGGAACAATGTGCAGTTAACCAGTGGAACTAGCTGCTGCAAGATGCAAGGCTTGGGCATGAACTTTGTCCAGGAGGAGAGGACTAGTGATGGATATTGCTGTCACGTTCAGACTCCACTTCCCACCGGCACATCTGACCAAGCCACTGGGCTAGGGGGGTTTTGGGATCCGGACATGGGTGGCGCTATTGTCTAAACCACTGAGACTCTTGGGCTTGCCGATCAGAAGGTCGGGGGTTCGAATCCCCACAACGGGTGTGTTATGTACTGAAGTTCTCACCCTGGGCCAGCAGGGGCATACTGTAGATAGTTATGCAAATGAAGGCTCGAAAGTGACGTTCAGTGATTGGATAGTTTTAGAAAGTTGCTACAGTAACGTTGTACTGGAGCTCTATATAAGCAGGCTGACTGAGCCCTTCAGTTCAGTTCTGTCCTGGCCTCTGAATAAACAAGAGCTGTTTGAAGAATCGCTGTGTCGTCTGATATGTTCACCCACAACTTAACAGGGTGAGCTCCCGTCGCTCTGTCCCAGCTCCTGCCAACCTAGCAGTTCAAAAGCACACCAGCGCAAGTAGATAAATAGGTACCACTGCGGCGGGATGGTAAACGGCGTTTCTGTGCACTGTGGTTTCCGTCACTGTGTCCTGTTGTGCCAGAAGTGGTTTAGTCCTGCTGGCCACATGACCCGGAAAGCTGTCTGCGGACAAACACCGGTTCCCTCGGCCTGAAAGCGAGATGAGTGCCGCAACCCCATAGTCACCTTTGACTGGACTCAACTGCCCAGGGGTCCTTTACCGCCCTGAGTAGCTGTGGGTTATAGGGCAGTGTTGAAATCTAATAAATAAGATTAAGGACACTGCATGACCCGCTTTCTCTCTGTCCATCCCCTCCGCCAGAGCAGTGAACCCGATCCTCTGGAGCTTCAACGGCAGCGAGAAGCCCAGCGTAAAGCGTTGGCCCGGAGGAGAGCTAGGGACCAGCTTCAGACAAGAACCCCAGAACCTTTAGAAGGCAGGAGGCATGTCGACGTTCAGACAGGTAAGGCACCAGGCGGAGAAGGAGGGCAAAATGCTTATCTCAGGAATACTGGGGAATGGCAAAATAGAAAGATTGGTATAAAATTATGATCTTAGCTGGTATGCTTGTTATTGCATCAGGGTGGAAAGGAAACGATAAATGGACAATGGAATAATGGAATGACTATGTTTTTGAATACATACAATCTGACATATTTGAACAGGTAATGACGGAAGATACATGGGAAAACAAATGTCAAAAGATTTTGAATAAATGGAATTGGAGGGACGCGGGTGGTGCTGTGGGTTAAACCACAGAGCCTAGGGCTTGCCGATCAGAAGGTCGGCTGTTCGAATTCCCGCGACGGGGTGAGCTCCCGTTGCTCGGTCCCTGCTCCTGCCAACCTAGCAGTTTGAAAGCATGTCAAAGTGCAAGTAGATAAATAGGTACCGCTCCGGCGGGAAGGTAAACGGCGTTTCCGTGCGCTGCTCTGGTTCGCCAGAAGCGGCTTAGTCATGCTGGCCACATGACCCGGAAGCTGTACGCCGGCTCCCTTGGCCAGTAAAGCGAGAGGAGCACCACAACCCCAGAGATGTCCGCGACTGGACCTAACAGTCAGGGGTCCCTTAGGTAATTTGTAAATTTTCCCCACTCCTCACTAAAGCTCCTCTCTTCCTTGTTTCTGATTTTCCTGGTCGATAGGGGTGGAGATGCTCCTTCAGGTATACTGGACCGAGGCCGTTTAGGGCTTTAAAGGTCAGCACCAACACTTTGAATTGTGCTCAGAAACAACCTGGGAGCCAAGGTTGGTCTTTCAGGACTGGTGTTATATGGTCTCGGCGGCCACTCCCGGTCCCCAGTCTAGCTGCCGCATTCTGGATTAGTTGTGGTTTCCGGGTCACCTTCAAAGGCAGCCCCACGTAGAGTGCATGGCAGTAGTCCAAGCGGGAGATAACTAGAGGCATAATCCCCAAGATAAGGGGATCCAGCGGGGAGAAGAATCTTTGATAGTGCTTTGATACCATCTCCAGAACCAGGTGGCGAAGAGATGGATGGGGAAAGAAGCTGATGGGGAAGTGGAGAGGCAAAACACCCCCCCCATCCCAAATAGTAAAGGTAAAGGGACCCCTGACCATTAGGTCCAGTTGTGACCGACTCTGAGGTTGCGGCACTCATCTCACTTTATTAGCCAAGGGAGCCGGCGTACAGCTTCCGGGTCATGTGGCCAGCATGACTGAGCCACTTCTGGCAAACCAGAGCAGCGCACGGAAACACCGTTTACCTTCCATCCTGATTGTCCTCCGGGCAGGAGATTTGCATCGGGGTCGGGAGAGCTGCAAAACTGCCGCTACACAAGAGCATCCCAAATGTCATTTCAGAGCTGTACCTGGAAGAGCTTGCGGACCGTATCATCGAAGTGGACATGGAATGCCAAACGGACGCGTTTCTGGACCGGCCGGCAACGCCTCTGTTCATCCCCGCGAAGACCGGCAGAGATGTGGCCACCCAGATCTGGGAAGGAGATGTACGTTAGAACCATAGAACCGTAGAGTCGGCAGGGACCCCCAGCGGTCACTTAGACCAACCCCCTCTGAGCCAAGCCTGGCAAGTGTGTTTCAGGCTTCCAGAACTCCGATCTAGGCAAGACTTTGGACCTTGCGAAATTTCCTGGGGGTTGGAACTTGACTGTGCTCAATGCCACGTCCAACACTGCTAGGGGCGCAGGTGGTGCTTTGGTCTAAACCATGGGTAGGCAAATTAAGGCCCGGAGGCCGTATCCAGCCCAATCACCTTCTAAATCTTGACCATGGATGGTCCGGGAATCAGCGTGTTTTTACATGAGTACAATGTGTCCTTTTGGCGGGACAGTGTTCTTGAAGCTACCAGCATGAGTTTGACCAAACTGCGGGAGGCAGTGGAAGACAGGAGTGCCTGGCGTGCTCTGGTCCAGGGGGTCACGAAGAGGTGGACACGACTAAACAACAACAACAATAATGTGTCCTTTTATTTAAAATACATCTCTGGGTTATTTGTGGGGCCTGCCTGGTGTTTTTACATGAGTAGAATGTGTGCTTTTATTTCAAATGCATCTCTAAATTCTTTGTGGGGCATAGGAATTCGTTCATTCCCCCCAAAAAAATATAGTCCAGCCCCCCACAAGGTCTGAGGGACAGTGGACCGGTCCCCTGCTGAAAAAGTTTGCTGAGCCCTGGTCTAAACTACAGAGCCTCTTGGGCTTGCCGATCGGAAGATCGGCGGTTCGAATCCCCGTGATGGGGTGAGCTAGGGCATGGTACTCTTATTGTTCCATTTCTTCTATGAACCAGTTTCTATAAAGCATCTCAAAACGATTTCACAACAAAAACTTGTATTTCAAAAACTGCACATATAAAGACACTTAAAACCATTGTATAAGGGGAGCACACGGCGCTGTGGTCTAAACCACTGAGCCTCTTGGGCTTGCCGATCGGAAGGTCGGCGGTTTGAATCCCCGTGACGGAGTGAACTCCCATTGCTTAGTCTCTGTTCCTGCCAACCTAGCAGTTTGAAAGCACGCCAGTGCAAGTAGATAAATAGGTACCACTGTGGCGGGAAGTTTGTCTTGATGTGCAGATTTACGCTTTAAAGAAAACCATTTCTCCAGACGTTCCCTTATGTCAGCCCACCTCTGATTTCTCCTCTTTGTTTCGCCCCCCCCCCAGCTTTTCGATTTTGATATCGAAGTGAGGCCGATGCTGGAGGTCTTGGTTGGCAAGACCATCGAGCAAGCGTTGCTGGAAGTCATGGAGGAAGAGGAACTCGCCGACCTGCGGGCGCATCAGTACGCGTACCACGAGCTGCGCCGTGCGGAACTCGCTGAGGTCCAGAGACTTGAGGAGCAGGAGCGGCGGCACAGAGAGGAAAAGGTACAGAGTCCGGCACTGCTAGCTGGGAGGGAAGGGGAAAGAAGCAGTGGTTTTCAACCCGTGTGCCGTGGCACCCTGGGGTGCCTTGAATGGTGGTGTTGTAAACAAAAATTGCCCTTTTCCCTTATGGGGTATCCAAGTGCCCATATAGAGTCCTTACATAGGTTCCCTATTGGTCAGATACATCATACGTACATCACAGAAACGGCGGTCTTAAAACAGAAATTTGAATGTTGTTTTTCTCCAGTCGTTGTTTAGCTCCTGTCTGGCAGGTTACTTGATTGGATTGCCTGGGTAGCCTGGCCAGTCTTTTGTAGTGATAAATATTTAGTTCCTGGGCCAGGTCACAGGCTCACACCCTGTTCAAACACAGACACACCCTTAAGACAGGATTTGTGAAGGAAAAGACAATGGGGAGGCTTTTCCACTTCGACCTTGCAGAGAAAACATTTGGTCAGTTTGGGACAGTTTGGGAATCAAAATGGTTCCAGGTCGGTCTTCCTGTGCTGATCTATGTACGTGCTTGGTTGGTACACTTATGAACATTTAACATACCGTATTTTCCGCTCTATAAGACGCACCAGACCACAAGACGCACCTAGTTTTTGGAGGAGGGAAACAAGAAAAAAAATATTCTGAATCTCAGAAGCCAGAACAGCAAGAGGGATCGCTGCGCAGTGAAAGCAGCAATCCCTCTTGCTGTTCTGGCTTCTGGGATAGCTGCGCAGCCTGCATTCGCTCCATAAGACGCACACACATTTCCCCTTACCTTTTAGGAGGGAAAAAGTGAGTCTCATAGAGCAAAAAAATGGTATATCTAAGACCTCAAAATTCCTATCACAATGGTCAGGGGTGCCGTGGGCAAAAAGGCCTCTGTCCCTCTTTCCTTCCCTCCCTTCTCTGATGCCCTCTGGCATCTCTGCCCTCTGGCGTCTCTGTCTCCCAAAGGCTTGCACAGCTGTTTGTTGCAGCAGCCCTGGCTGCAAGCTGCCCGTGCGAATGGTGCCTCTGGGGCTGGCCAGGGGGCGCTGGGTGCCAGGAGCAGAGACGGCCTTGGAATAAGCAAGCAAGCAAGCGGGTGAGGGAGCCCAGTCTGCCAGCCCTTGCTGTTGGGAATGGGCAGGCAAGTACCAGGCCCCTGTGGGGCAGTGTGAGGAGGCACCTATCTTTGGGGCGGGGGGGGCAGCTCAGAGACCAGGGGTGGAGGCAGTGACTGCCTGGAGGACTCCCAAGGAGAGGGGAGAGGAGAGGTAGCTGGGGGAACGCTCCACAAGGGAGGGTGTTTGAAAAAGGGGTGAGGGGCTGCCAGCTCTGCAGGCAAGAGGGGACATAACTGGGCTCCTGAGCCCCACAGGGGTGCCACAGACAACCCTGGCCTCTGTCCCTCTTTCCTTCCCTCCCTCCTCTGATGCCCTCTGGCGTCTCTGCCTCCCAAAGGCTTGCACAGTTGTTTGTTCCAGCAGCCCTGGCTGCAAGCTCCCCACGTGAATGGTGCCTCTGGGGCTGGCCAGGGGGCGCTGGGTGCCAGGAGCAGAGACGGCCTTGGAATAAGCAAGCAAGCAAGCGGGCGAGGGAGCCCAGTCTGCCAGCCCTTGCTGTTGGGAATGGGCAGGCAAGTACCAGGCCCCTGTGGGGCAGTGTGAGGAGGCACCTATCTTTGGGGCGAGGGGGGCGGCTCAGAGACCAGGGGCAGCAGCAGCGGCTGCCCAGAGGTCTCCCCAGGAGAGGGGCAAGGAGGCTGAGGGAGGGTGTTCAAAAAAGGGTGAGGGGCTGCCAGCTCTGCAGGCAAGGGGTGACCTAACTGGGAGCCAGTGTGGTGTAGTGGTTAAGAACGGTAGATTCATAATCTGGGGAACCAAGTTCGAGTCTCCGCTCCTCCACCTGCAGCTGCTGGGTGACCTTGGGCTAGTCACACTTCTCTGAAGTCTCTCAGCCCCACTCACCTCACAGAGTGTTTGTTGTGGGGGAGGAAGGGAAAGGAGAATGTTAGCCGCTTTGAGACTCCTTCAGGTAGTGATAAAGCGGGATATCAAATCCAAACTCCTGAGCCCCACAGGGGTGCCACAGACAACACTGGCATCCACAGACAACACTCTGATGCCCTCTGGCATCTCTGCCCCCTGGCGTCTCTGCCTCCCAAAGGCTTGCACAGCTGTTTGTTGCAGCAGCCCTGGCTGCAAGTTCCCCAGGCGAATGGTGCCTCTGGGGCTGGCCAGGGGGCACTGGTTGCCAGGAGCTGAGACGGCCCTGGAGTAAGCAAGCAAGCGGGCGAGGGAGCCCAGTCTGCCAGCCCTTGCTGTTGGGAATAGGCGACATGTCTGTGGGGCAGTGTGAGGTGGTGTTTCTCTTTGGGGGGCAGCTCAGAGACCAGGGGCAGCAGCAGCGGCTGCCCAGAGGACTCCCCAGGAGAGGGGCAAGGAGGCTGAGGAGGGAGGGTGTTCAAAAAGGGGTGTGGGGCTGCCAGCTCTGCAGGCAAGGGGGGACCTAACTGGTCTCCTGAGTGCCACAGGGGTGCCGCAGAAAGAAAGTTCAAGGGAGCCATAGACTTAAAAAGGTCAAAAACCTCTGGGCTAAAGTATTGGGGTGGGGGATTTCCAGTCAAGGAAAGAAGGTGACTGTCACATCAGTTTCTGAAGGGATTACATGGGCTCCCTGTGGTGTTTCCAAGCCCAGTTCAAATTTCTGCTTCTTGCCCTACAAACTCTCCAAGAATATCTGGAGGCCACAGCTAGCGGATTTCTTATGAGATCACCTGACGCTGCATGCGTTCATGCAACAACAACAACAATTTTATTATTTATATTCCGCCCATCTGGCTGGGTTGACCCAGACACTCTGGGCGGCTTCCAACAAAATATTAAAACGCAGAAAACTTCCCTGAACATAGGGGACATAGGTTTCTGGGCGGGAGTTGATCACGGTGTGGATTTGCCAAGCGTGCCTTCCTCTTAGCACGTTTCTCCCTTGCGTCCTGAGTTCGAGAGTCTTCAAAACCCATGACACCTTTGGTAAAGGCTGTTCTCCAATTGGAGCGCTCGCAGGCCAGTGCTTCCCAGTTGTCAGTGTTTATACTACTGTGGTGCCTTGGAAGTCAAACGGAATCCATTCCGGAAGTCCGCCCGACTTCCAAAACATTCGTAAACCGAGGTGCGGCTTCCGATTGGCTGCAGGAAGCTCCTGCAGCCAATCGGAAGCCGCGGAAGCCATGTTGGACGTTTGGGTTCCAAAGAACGTTCACAAACCGGAACAGTCCTTTCCTGGGTTTGCAGCGTCCGGGAGCCAAAACGTTCGACTCGCAAGGCATCCAGGATCCAAGGTTTGACTGTACGTACATTTTTTTAAGATTTGCCTTGAGAGAGTCTTTACATCTCTTCGGTTGACCATCAGCTACCGGGTCTGATTCAAAGCCTGCTGAAATGGCTTGGGAAATAGACCCAAAACAAAACCCGGAAGTTCCACAACCGCTGCTTTCTCCTTTCCGGCAGGAGCGTCGTAAAAAGCAGCAGCTACAAGTCCTTCAGAAGGAGAAAGAAACTTCGGAGAAGATTGCAGCTCGGGCTTTTGCTCAACGCTACCTGTCGGACCTTATTCCTTCCGTCTTCGGCAGCCTTCGGGAGAGTGGATACTTCTACGACCCAGTGGAGAGAGGTGTGTGGCTTGCTGTGTGTTGGGACAGCAGGGGGGGCTCTCATTCTGATTTCAGGCTCCCCAAGTGTTAAGTTGTGGGTGAACATATCAGACGACACAGCAATTCTTCAAACAGCTCTTGTTTATTCACAGGCCAGAACAGAACTGAGCTGAAGGGTTCAGTCAGCCTGTTTATATAGAGCTCCAGTACAACGTTACTGTAACAACTTTCTAAAACTATCCAATCACTGAACGTCACTTTCGATCCCTTATTTGCATAACTATCTACAGTATCCCCCTGCTGGCCCAGGGTGAGAACTTCAGTACATAACACCAAGAAAGGCATCTGTCTTGCCAAACGCAAGGTGGTTCTTTTAAATGAGATTCAGAGGCAATACGAACACAAGCGAGTGAGAAGATTTTATTCTAAACAGCAAGCAATACAGTGGTACCTCTGGTTATGTACTTAATTCGTTCTGGAGTTCTGTTCTTAACCTGAAACTGTTCTTAAACTGAAGCACCACTTTAGCTAATGGGGCCACCCGCTGTCTCCACGTGATTTCTGTTCTCGTCCTGAAGCAAAGTTCTTAATCTGAGCTACTATTTCTGGGTTAGCGGAGTCTGTAACCTGAAGCGTATGTAACCTGAAGCGTATGTAACCCAAGGTACCACTGTATATACATTACCTGCTAGGCTAGTGACTGGGAGCGGCTGACAAGACCACATAACACTGGTCTTGAAGACCCACGTTGGCTCCCAGTACGTTTCCAAGCACAATTCAAAGTGTTGGTGCTGACCTTGAAAGCCCTAAATGGCCCAGTATACCTGAAGGAGCGTCTCCACCCCCATCGTCCAGCCTGGACACTGAGATCCAGCTCCAAAGGTCTTCTGCTTGTTCCCTTACTGCGAGAAGCAAAGTTACAAGGAACCAGCCAGAGGGCCTTCTCGGTGGTGGCACCCGCCCTGTGGAACGTCCTCCCATCAGATGCCAAGGGAATAAACAACTATTTGACTTTTTGAAGATATCTGAAGGCACCCCTGTTTAGGGAAGCTTTTAATGTCAGATGTTTTATTGTATTTTTAATATTTTGTTGGAAGCTGCCCAGAGTGGCTGGGGAAAGCCAGCCAGATGTTTTATTATTATTATTATATCAAGCAACACTTCAGTCTGCCACAAGACATGGCGACGCGACCACCCAGGTAGCCTTCATTTGCATGACCCTCTGGCAATCTGGTCCTCTGTGTCATGGGCTTTGAAGACACTCGAACTCAGGGCGAAAGGGAGAAACATGCTAAGAGGAAGGCATGCTTGGCAAACCTTCACCGTGATCAACTCCCGTCCGGACACCTATGTCCCCACTGTGGATGGACGTGTGGATCCAGAATTGGCCTCCACAGTCACTTACGGGCCCACTGTTAAAACTGTGTTTATGGAAGACAATCTTACTCAGCTACGCTACGAGGGATCGCCAAAGAAGAAGGAGAAGTAGTGCATGAAAATAGGGATAAAAGGAGAGTCCCCATCCTTTTTCTTTGTTGTTCCAGAAGCTTGGCCTTCTCAGTGTTCTTCCAAGTCACTGTTTAGCTAGGAGAACTTCCAAACCGCTTCCAGAACCAGATCACGTTCAAGTGTTTGTTCGAATACACGAAGTCTCAATCCACGGGCCTGGGCAGAGGATTTGGTGATTCAGAGCAGTCGCAATCTTCAAAAGTGACAATTTGGAAAGGCCCCACCTCTAAATATTTATAGTTTCTGGGCTTCTGACGCATTCTGACACAGATTGCTTGTATTGGTTAAATAAGGCAGGTTTGGTTTCTTTTGCTATTCATTTTAACATCAGACCCACCTTTTTGGGTGGAAGCAAGACTTAATTTGTCCATGGAGTTTTCTTGGCAGGGATACTGGAGTGGCTTGCCGGTTCCTCTTCCAGGTGGATCACGTTTGGTCAAAACTCTCCACTATGACCAGTCCATCTTGGGTGCCCTGCTCCACATAGTTCATAGCTTCTCTGAGTTGTTCAAGCCCCTTCGCCACGGCAAGGCAGTGATCCATGAAGGGGTGAAAGAGGAGAGCGCAAAATATGGTCTGAAGCTCAACATCAAAAAAACGAAGATCATGGCCACTGGTCCCATCACCTCCTGAGAAATAGAAGGGGAAGAAATGGAGGCAGTGAGAGATTTTACTTTCTTGGGCTCCATGATCACTGCAGATGGTGACAGCAGTCACGAAATTAAAAGACGCCTGCTTCTTGGGAGAAAAGCAATGACAAACCTGGACAGCATATTAAAAAGCAGAGACATCACCTTGCCAACAAAGGTCCGTATAGTAAAACCTATGGTTTTCCCAGTAGTGATGTATGGAAGTGAGAGCTGGACCATAAAGAAGGCTGATCGCCGTTGAATGGATGCTTTTGAGAATGGAGACTCTTGAGAGTCCCATGGACTGCAAGAAGATCAAACCTCTTCATTCTTAAGGAAATCAGCCCTGAGTGCTCACTGGAAGGACAGATCCTGAAGCTGAGGCTCCAAGACTTTGGCCACCTCATGAGAAGAGAAGACTCCCTGGAAAAGACCCTGATGTTGGGAAAGATGGAGGGCCCAAGGAGAAGGGGACGGCAGAGGACGAGATGGTGGGACAGCGTTCTCGAAGCTACCAGCATGAGTTTGACCAAACTGCAGGAGGCAGTGGAAGACAGGAGTGCCTGGCGTGCTCTGGTCCAGGGGGTCACGAAGTCGGACACGACTAAACGACTAAACAAGAAGAAGAAGAAGACTTAATTTTGCAGGGGGCATATCAGAAACCCTTTCCAAAGGGCAATTCTTGGAGGTGAGCCAGTAGGAGTTGAGTTTGAGAACCAAGGGTTCAAGCCAAAGACTAGGGACAGGGGGCACTTTTGATGGAAGCCGCTTTCCCAAACCAGCGTGTGAACTCAGGGTTCATGCCTCGAAATCCACATTTCTCCGTGGACTTCTCCAGCCAAACACTGCACATGGAAAACGTTGACACAAAACTGTTTATCTTGCAGAACACAGCGTACAAAACCAGGGGAAACAGCTTGCAAAGATGAGGATATTAGGCAAAAATGTGTACCGCTGGATGTGCTTAGATGTTGCTGGGTTGTTGTTTTTTGCAATTTAAAAGGTAAATGGACCCCTGACCATTAGGTCCAGTCGCAGACGACTCTGGGGTTGCGGTGCTCATCTCGCTTTATTGGCTGAGGCAGCCGGCGTACAGCTTCTGGGTCACGTGGCAGCATGACTAAGCCCCTTCTGGCGAACCAGAGCAGCGCACGGAAACGTCGTTTACCTTCCCGCCGGAGCGGTACCTATTTATCTACTTGCACTTTGACGTGCTTTCGAACTGCTAGTTTGGCAGGAGCAGGGACCGAGCAACAGGAGCTCACCCTGTTGTGGGGATTCGAACCGCCGACCTTCTGATCGGCAAGTCCTAGGCTCTGTGGTTTAACCCACAGCGCCACCCGCGTCCCTCTTTGTGCAATTTAGTGGCATGCAAATTCTGTTAAGTGAATGGAATAAACACAAGAATGCCTTTAATAGGAGAAATGTGCCTGGAAATGCAGAAGAATGTTCACGCAGGCCTTTTTGAAAAACATGTGGCTGATGAAAACTTAAGAAACACAAGGAACCGGAATGGATAGATTTGGCTGTCCTCAGTAAAGGCTACCATTGCCCTGGAAAGTTTCGGCGAGAAATAAGTGCTTCCTATTAAGGAGAGTCCATGGCTCGTGGATCAGTTGCAGTCAGCCTCCAGATTGTAGAATCAAATAACTGTAGAGTTTGAAGGGACTCCAAGGGTCATCCAGTCCAACCCACTGAAATGCAGGAATCTTTTGCCCAACCTGGGGCTCGAACCCACAACTCTGAGATTAAGAGTCTCATGCTGTAAACAACTGAGCTTTCCCAGATGTTGTTGCAGAGGGGAACGCAACTGGTTTGCCTGCTGCAGGGGCACCACAACAATTACTTAGAATGTTCCCGCCAGAGTGGTACCTATTTATCTACTTGCGCTGGTGTGCTTTCGAACTGCTAGGTTGGCAGGAGCTGGGACAGAGCAACAGGAGCTCACCCCATCACGGGGATTCGAATTGCCAACCTTTTTAATCGGCAAGCCCAAGAGGCTCAGGGGTTTAGACCACAGCACCACACTGAAATTTGAAAGCCCAAAGTCGCCCGGTTGGTTGCTATGCTCCGGCTCCCACCAGCTCCTGCTTGCATAGGCAATGGTGAGAGATGATGGGAGGCACAATATGGCTCCCACGCGTGGGCCAAATCTCTCCATCCCTGGTCAAGACAAATGCTCAGGCCTGACGCCCTTGTTGCACCTTCTGATCGGCAAGCAGATGTGGAGGGTTTGAGACCGTGGAGAAGAGGCTCCACCTAGGAATCCACCTAGAGTCAAGCCCTGCTTCTGCTCTACAAGTTTCCCTGGGAGTAAGACCTGGCGAAAACAATGAGAGTTACTTTTGAGCAAAGGTAAAAAGGTAAAGGGACCCCTGACCATTAGGTCCAGTTGTGGCCGACTCTGGGGTTGCGGCACTCATCTCGCTTAACTGACCGAGGGAGCCGGCGTACAGCTTCCGGGTCATGTGGCCAGCAGGACTAAGCCGCTTCTGGCGAACCAGAGCAGCCCACGGAAACACCGTTTACCTTCCCACCTATTTATCTACTTGCACTTTGACGTGCTTTCAAACTGCTAGATTGGCAGGAGCTGGGACAAAGCAACGGGAGCTCACCCTGTCATAGGGATTTGAACCGCCAGTCTTTTTAATTGGCAAGCTTTTAATTGCCCTTGTTGCACCACAGAGTGGGTGAGCTCTTTCTGCTTCCAGCCTCAGCTGCTCTACCAAACAACAACCTTCCAATATTTCTCCATTCGGGTAATAATTTTTAAAATCTCTCCTTGTATTTCACAGACATCGAGACAGGCTTCTTCCCGGGGATGATGTCGGAGATACAAGAGATCATGGAAAACCGGGTTCTGGGCAGAACAATAGCCGACAGTAAGTTAAATTATCCGGGGGTGGGGTTTTTCCCCATGTGCAAATAAGGTTCGGTGGCTGTTGTTTTCTTACAAAACGACAATGCAAAATTATATATTTTTCTAAATAAAAGCAAAGCTCCTTGGTTCGTTCTCTGGCAACTGCAGCCTTGGGAGTCACCGCCAGAAAGCAGCTCCCTCAGCTTCAAGTTGGGGGGCTCATTGCAAATTATTGGGGGGGCCCTCGCAAATTATCTCCTAAAAGTTTTTTTTATTTTACCAACCAACAGTTTTGACAAACCAATTTTATTACACAAAACGTACAGTATTCATTTCGATCTGTTGTCGCAGGGCTCCTAAAAGGTGTGGTGCCCTTAGTCTACGCGGCCGGTTTGGTTAAACCGGCCGTGATTGCTGATCTGTGCCTGATTCCTGCGCCGAAATCAACTACCATAACTGGCTCTGGCCTATTCATTCCTGAGCATTTAGGAGGATACAGTGGATGTTCGGGTTGCGAACGTGATCCGTGCGTGATGCACATTCGCAACCCGCAGAGTTCGCAACCTGCAGCGGCGCATCTGCGCATGCGCGGGTTGCGATCCGGCACTTCTGCGCATGCGCAAAGCATGATTTAGTGCTTCTGCGCATGTGCGACCGCCAAAACCCGGAAGTAACCCGTTCCGGTACTTCCGGGTTTCGGCGGTCCGTAACTTGAAAAAACACAACCTGAAGCGTCTGTAACCCGAGGTACGACTGTGTTACCATTTACAATTTCTAACGCGACACAACTTTCCTTGCAGACTTAATCCGAGACATGATGGAAATGAGGCTGGACTGCTACGAGAAAGGAGTGTTGCCGGTCCGGCCGGAGGTCATTCTGCCCCCCGACCCGGAAGACGCCATGATTCCCTCCATGGAATTATTGTTGGGCGCGAGCCCGGATCCACAGGGAATCATGGAACAGCTGGAATCCCTTGGCCAACTGGACGTCTTGGATCAGCCAGATGTTTACGGCCAGTTGGAAGCCTTGGATAAGCTGGAAGCTCCTGGCCAATCCGAAGCCACGGAACAGCCACCGATTTCAGACCAGCCGGAAGCCCCAGATCAGCTGGAATCCGCTCCAGATCAGGACAAAGCAGCAGAAGAGCCAGAAGTCAAGGAGCCAGAACCACAGTGATGGGATTACTAAATGAATCAGGTAGGGCAGGTGTGAATTAGTTCTTCAATCCCCAAAAGAATTATTATTATTATTATTATTATTATTATTATTATTATTATATCCCACCTTTCCCCAGACTGAAATTTAAGGCAGTTTGCAGATATTATTATTGTTGCAAAAGCTGGGTGCCACCTCCGCTTGCTGCAAAAGTGGGGGATTAAAGGGAGTCCCCAGCAAATTCATGGGACGTGTGTGGCGCTGTGGCTTAAGCCACAGAGCCTAGGACTTGCTGATCAGAAGGTCGGTGGTTCGAATCCCCGCGAGGGGGTGAGTTCCCGTTGCTTGGTCCCTGCTCCTGCCAACCTAGCAGTTCAAAAGCACGTCAAAGTGCAAGTAGATAAATAGGTACCACTCCGGCGGGAAGGTAAACGACGTTTCCGTGCGCTGCTCTGGTTCGCCAGAAGTGGCTTAGTCCTGCTGGCCACATGACCCAGAAGCTGTACGCCAGCTCCCTCGGCCAGTAAAGCGAGATGAGCGCCGCAACCCCAGAGTCGGTCACAACTGGACCTAATGGTCAGGGGTCCCCTTTACCTTTTACCAGCAAATTCATGGAGCCAGCAACCTTTCCAAATTCCAATTGCTGGAAGCCACAGGAGCTGGTTTTGTGTTCGAATCGTGCTCACTGGTTTCTCACAGGCATCTGGTCAGCCGCTGTGAGAAGAGGATGACGGCCTAGATGGGGCCATTGGCCCTGATCCAGCAAGACCCATTTTTACGTTCTTAGGTTTGCCTCTTCCCTTCCAACCCCTTTCCCTTTTGTAAGAACTGCCTTCGTAAAAACCGCTTGGGGAGTCTTCTTCTTTTTTCTTTTTTGCCGACGGGCAGAGTAAAATAAGAATAATAATACTTCAAATAAAATAAAATTGAATGTGGTTCAAGGGATACCATTATTGTTAGCAAGGGGGAAACCTCCCCCCTTTCCTGATATTTATTGTCAGGGCCGGATTTAGGTTTGATGAGGCCCTAAGCTCCTGAAGGTCATAGCTGTCAACCTTCCCTTTTTTGCGGGAAATTCCCTTATTCCAGCGTCGTTTCCCACTGCTTCCTGCTGCTATCCCGGATTGTTAGATATCCCGTGGACTGTCCTCGGGACAGGTGAGGCTGATGATCCCTTATTTACAAATCTGAAAGTTGACAGCTATTCTGAAGGTAATGGGGCCCTTTATATGTCCAGCTGTCCCTTGTCAACAACAAATTGCCGCTGTTTTTTGTGTTGAATATATGCTATACAGTGGTACCTCGGGTTACATATGCTTCAGGTTACATACGCTTCAGGTTACACACTCCACTAACCCAGAAATAGTGCTTCAGGTTAAGAACTTTGCTTCAGGATAAGAACAGAAATCGGGCTCTGGCGGCGCAGCGACAGCAGGAGGCCCCATTAGCTAAAGTGGTGCTTCAGGTTAAGAACAGATTCAGGTTAAGAATGGACCTCCGGAACAAATTAAGTACTTAACCTGAGGTACCACTGTATGGTCATTTATGGACCTCATAGGTATCTCAAGCCATTTGCCCATGTTTCCATGCAACCAGTCCATGCAGAATGTAGGCACCTTATATATAGAAAGGAGCAAACCAGTGACTTTTTAGGGAGCAGGCTAGCAAACCAGTGACTTTTTAGGGAGCAGGGAGCAGACTTTTTAGGGAGCAGGGGCCCATGACCTGCATCCTGGGAGCCTACACGACACAAAACACTGTTGCTGTATGTAGGCTTTATAGTATTTGTTTTTTTATCTTATATTTTGAAAATGTACATCCAGTTTTTTCCCCCTTTAAATTTTTTGGGGCCCCCAAGAGAGTGGAGCCCTATAAGCTTGTCTAGCTTATACGTAAACCCGGCATTGTTTATTGTGCGTTCTCCCCGCAAGATGGCAGCATCGCCACTGGGATGTTAACAAAACCAAAAGCATCAGAGCAAGCCTTCCTGTCTAGCCTGTGGGGGCTGAGATGCGAGTGAGTTGCAGTGATTTCAGTTCTCCTCCTCTGGAATCCGTTTCAGTTTAGAGCAGGGCTCAGCAAACCTTTTCAGCAGGGGGCCGGTCCATGGTCCCTCATACCTTTTTTTTGGGGGGGCGGACTACATTGGTACCTCTGGTTACATACTTTATTCGTTCCGGAGGTCCATTCTTAAGCTGAAACTATTCTTAACCTGAAGCACCACTTTAGCTAATGGGGCCTCCTGCTGCCGCCGCGCAATTTCCGTTCTCATTCTGAAGCAAAGTTCTTAACCCGAGGTACTATTTCTGGGTTAGGGGAGTCTGTAACCTGAAGCGTATGTAACCTGAAGCGTATGTAACCCGAGGTACCACTGTATATGGTGGGGGAATGAACGAATTCCTATGCCCCACAAATAACCCAGAGATGCATTTTAAATAAAAGCACACATTCTACTCATGTAAAAACACGCTGATTCCCGGACCGTCCGTGGGTTGGATTTAGAAGGCGATTGGGCCGCATCCTGCCCCCAGGCCTTAGGTTGCCTACCCCTGGCTTAGGTAGAGAGCTTGGGAAAATCCCCCTTTTAAGAAGAACTGGTTGCAGTTCAACATGTCTGCAAAGGAACTAATTCCAGTTCACGTCTGGTTCACGTTCGGCCAGTGCCGGGATTTACGTATAAGCTAAACAAGCTATAGCTTAGGGCCCCACTCTCTTGGGGGCCCCCAAAAAATTAAAGAAAAAAAAACTGGATGTACATTTCCAAAATATAAAAAACAAATAAAATTTATTAATTATTACTCTCCCTTCTTCCTTTTTTAAAAAAAATACATTTTTATTGATTTTTTAACATATCAGTTCCAACAGTCATACAACATATCTTCACATCTTATAAAATATTTTTGACTTCCGTCAACACACCTCTGATGATTTTCCGTTCTTTATCACTTATTCTGCATTTCTTAATTTCCTATTACTGTACATTTAATTATCCTTAAGTAATAATTCTCCTCATAGCCTTTCTTGTAATATTTCAAGTAATCCACCTTACAAAACTTTTTGCAGTCCTACAGGTATATTTTGTTCATCACAATTGCTTTTCAAATAGCTCATATATTTCCTCCAGTCTTCTAAGAATCTCTGGTCCCACAGTTTTCGAATCCTTCCTGTTAATTTATCTAATTCTGCATTGTCCATCAGCTTCATCCTCCATTCTTCTTTTGTCGGCAGTTCTTCTTGCTTCCATCTTTGTGCCAATAATAGTCTTGCTGCTGTCATTGCATATAAAAACAACTTGCAATCCTGTCTATTAATATCCTTATTATTCTCCCTTCTTCCATGACCCTCTGCCATCTTGCCCTCTTGATCTTAGGCTGGTGTGCTCCTTTCACTTCGGTAAAAGTGATAAAACTCGTGCCGGCCATAAGAATTACATTTTATTTTATTTTTTGCCGTTCTCTTTCCAGGGATTCCCGGAGGTCGCACCAACACGTTTGTGCCAACCGACGAAATGCTGAATTTAATTGCTCCTGGTGCAAGCAATAAATTGAAAGCAGCGGTTTTTCAAAAATACGTGCGAGGTCTATGCTCTTATTAGTCCCCCCCAAAACTCAGCGCTGAGAAACATCACACTAGTTTTCAACGAATTCCTCTTCTTTTTAAATTTGTCCATGTTCCCATTAATTGTTTGCAACTTAAATGTGCCTAAATAAATCCCAGACGGCATCTGGTAGAAGTTTGTTGTTATTTAAGTTCTGTTGAAGTCAGCGAGATACAATTTAGCCAGAGCTAAACTTGTTGAGTGGGTTCGATTTCAATGGGACTAGAAGTGGTGACAAAGTTCTGCCAGATCTGTGTGTTGACGTTTAGAAAGTTTTTAGCAACCTTTGCATTGTTTAACCATAGTTATTTGCATTATAACCATAGTATCTGCCTTATTTGACCATAAAATGTGTTATTTTTTTAGAGAATGTTTGTGCGTATGTGCATGCCTATATATATTTTTAGAAAGCTTAGGATAATTTGATTTTTACCTAGTTGCCTTATAAGTCTGATTTATTCATGACTTCAGCAAAAAAGGAGGTTTTTCGTTTTTCTTTTAATGTTATTTTCCTAGTACAAAAGAAATCATCGTGGAGATAAATAGATTGGTTGTTGTTGTTGTTGTTATTGTTGTTGTGCTCTTCCTCCCCCCCCCCAGTCTCCCACCTCTGAACCAGGTTATTATTTCGTTTCAAATGTTTCTCTTTGGAAAGCACTGTTTGTGTTTTATCCCATAAAGCATTGCCGTTCAGTCGTATTCTTAAATAACTTTAATGCATTTCCATGTTTGTGTTTTACCTATGATTGTATCTATCGTTTTAAGATTAATTTAATTAATTAATTTTAATTAATTAATTAATTTTAATTAATTTAATTAATTAATTTTAATTAATTTAATTAATTAATTTTAATTAATTAATTTTAATTAATTTTAATTAATTTTAAGATTAATTTGGTTTTGTTGCAATGGTATTATATGTAAGATTTTCCCAGATCTGCGCTTGGGCCAAGTCTAGAAAGCACAAGTCGAAGCGGTTTTCTGCTTGTCTCAACTGCCCTTCATCAATAAATCGGAGCAAACATCAACCCAACCCAACTGATGTGTGCTCCGATCCAGCAGTAAAGTTCGGGTTTCCCCGGGGGAAAGTGTCAAAGGCAAATGCGGACGAGCTCAAAGACAGCGAAATCTCCCACCGTTTAGTTTTTCTTCTCCTCGGATAAAACGAATCATTGAAGAGGCAGCCAAATGGCTGATCTTTGCTTCCCCTTCCTCCCTTCTAAGGATGCCCAACGCTTGTCTCCAGCGGAGCTCTACTCAGAAGGAACCTGCCGAAATGAAACGGATCCGACCCGTTTTATTTTGGGGGGTGTTGACTCTGAATATGACCAGCGCTGGATACGAGCCCGTGCATCTAGTTGAAAAAAAAAAGTTATTGCTCCCCTTTAACGCGATCTCTTAGGAGACATCCTGTTTAAGAAACGGGAGCGTTTATCTTTCCTTCTCCCTGCGTTTTTTTCTTACCCCAAAATTTAGCACCAATAAATGTGGGTGGGTGGGTGGAAAACGGGCTTGTGCGATTGCAGCTCTGAGCTCCCTGTGTAAGCCACATTCAAGGCGGCTCCTGAATGGCGGGACGTCAGATGCAATGCTAAAACCCACTCAAGGCTGCTACTGCCTCCTCTAAGATGCCCATAGCTCTGGCAGGAGCTATGGGGCTCTTCTTCCCCCTAACCCTCCTCCCTGCCCCATTGCCACCTCTCCTTCCTCTTTCCAGTGTGCAAAGGGTCCAGCGGTCAAGGTTTCTTGGTTGACCAGTTGCTGTGACCCAAACTCCCTCAAGGGACAGGCAGCGGCAACAGAACAGGTATCTATCTATCTGAACCCATCAACCCAGGAATGGCAGGAGTTTGGGTCACAGCCCCAAACGTTTGCCATACTTGAAAGAACTAGCGAAAGCTCTCTGATGTCACGAAGTCCGTTGCGGCGAATATTGTTCTGATTATTTTCGCGGGGAGCCATCTGCCTGTTCAGAAAAAAGCACACCTGTAGCATTTCGGAACAGATGCTCAAACCGCTTTTCCGAAGCAAGGGAGGAGACGCAATCTCGCCTCCTCCCTGAGCAGCTAGATTTCCAAAGGCGGGGAGCTGTTTTCTTTTTCCTTGCACCAGGCCTCCGGAACCTGTGGGCCTCTCTGGGGAGAGGCTGCGGGACTCCAGTTCCCAACAGCCCCATAGAGAATGTAATCCAAAGAACACAAATTCCCTGTTCCCGCTTTGCACAGCGATTTCTCCCTTCTGAAGTGCTACGGTCCGGCGCACGACTATTATTGTGTGCTTTTTCCAAACGTGTAGATCAGCTCTGTCTGGAAACATATGCAATGTCAAATCTGTTTTCCTCTTACCTGATGCACCCCGCCCCCCAAAAAGCATTTTGTGTGAACTGAAAATAAAGAGGATACCACAATGTGATTCTGTTGTCAAGTACTTCTTCGCAGCCAGCTGGGGAGCGTTTTAGGAAAAAAATTGCGCTTAGCAATGGATTCAGGGTCCCCTAAGTCTGTTATCAGGGACACGGGTGGCGCTGTGGGTTAAACCACAGAGCCTAGGGCTTGCCGATCAGAAGGTTGGCGGCTCGAATCCCTGTGACGGGGTGAGCTCCCATTGCTCATTCCCTGCTCCTGCCAACCTAGCAGTTTGAAAGCACGCCAAGGTGCAAGTAGATAAATAGGTACCACTTCGGCGGGAAGGTAAACAGCGTTTCCGTGCGCTGCTCTGGTTTGCCAGAAGTGGCTTAGTCCTGCTGGCCACATGACCCGGAAGCTGTCTGCAGACAAACGCAGGCTCCCTCAGCCTATAGAGCGAGATGAGCGCACAACCCCAGAGTCGGTCACGAGTGGACCTAATGGTCAGGTTCCCTTTACCTTTTTAAGTCTGTTCTCGGGACGCGGGTGGCGCTGTGGGTTAAACCACAGAGCCTAGGACTTGCCGATCAGAAGGTCGAATCCCCGGGACGGGGTGAGCTCCCGTTGCTCGGTCTCTGCTCCTGCCCACCTAGCAGTTCGAAAGCATGCCAGTGCAAGTAGATAAATAGGTACCACTGCAGCGGGAAGGTAAACGGCGTTTCTGTGTATTGCTCTGGTTCGCCAGAAGCGGCTCAGTCATGCTGGCCACATGACCCAGAAAAACGCCAGCTCCCTCGGCCTATAGAGCTATCTTCCAGGGGCCACACATCCCAGTAGTCAGTGCCGGCCCACCCAAGAGGCGAGGCGAGGTGACTGCCTCAGGCGGCAGGTTGCATGGGGCAGAAGATCTGGCCTCCAAGGCGTGCTTTGCCCACTGTTGCTGGAGGTTGGATCTGGAGTGTCTGGAGCAACCCAGTCAGATGGGCAGGGAACAAAAATAAAAATATGATGATGGAATCGGATGTCCCTATTTTCACTGGAGAAATGTTGGAGGATATTCTGTAGCTGTGCTTTGTGTTCCATTCCCAAGAAATGAAGATTAACTAATGTCAGGTGCTGTTCTGCAGGTCTAAACCAGGCATAGGCAAATTCGGCCCTCCAGATGTTTTGGGACTACAGTTCCCATCATCCCTGACCACTGGTCCTGTTACCTAGGGATCATGGGAGTTGTAGGCCAAAAACATCTGGAGGGCCGCGTTTGCCTATGCCTGGTTTAAACCAAGAGCCCCAGCTGTTTCATCCAATATCAAGAAGATTGGATGAAATTTAAAGACTATTTGAATAAAAATTGTAATATTAAAGATTTGTAACCACTTGAAATAACTAATTAGGCCTAGGATTAAATTGGGATTAAATAAATATATAAGAAAAAGTAAGATAAGAAAAGTTAGGAAATTTGATTATGACCAGAATATTGTTATATGGAATGATGATATTGGAAACTGCTACATTTAATTACATGGAAATTCAGTTGGAAGAGATTAGAGGAAGTCAAGCAATATGTTTATGAAGTTGGATTTTAATTAATTAACGAAGTCTTATTGTATGTGGTGGTATATGTGAGGTTTGAAATACTTTATTTCTTTTCTTTTCTTTTTTCTTTTTCTTTTATTATTGTTTTTTCTTTTTCTGTTTGTTAAAAGTTGTGTTTTTGTATGAAATTTAATAAACATTATTGGGGGGAAAATAAAAAATAAACCAACAGCCCCAGCTGGGCCTTGTGTCTAGTTTTGCCCATTTCCTTCCACCACCCCCTTCCCCCACTTTCCCTCCCTCCCGAAATATTTCATTCACCAAGCCCCTCGGAGCGCCGCGGCCGTTCCTTGTACTCGTGCCAGCAGCCATAAAATTCATCGCCCAGGTGAGGAAAACAAGGAGGGCGGACTTCACGGCCATCTGCCTTCTTGCAGCGTGAGAATTCCCTTCCAAGAATATCTGCAGACAATGAGATTACTCTGGCAAGTTGGGGGGGGGGGCGGTGAGGAAGGAAAGATGGGACCGCATGTATTTATCGCCATGGCAACACCCAAGTCGGAGGTATCTGTTGACCACAAAGCACCTCCAAGCATAGTTCAGAAGTAACCAGATCTCTTGACGGGTTGGCGGATGGGGAAATTCTTCCTAAGGAAGAAAATTTGAGTGGAAAGTGGGGTGGGAGGGATGGAATAGGATTCGACCCCTCATCCTCCCCATTCCCCTTTTTAATTTTAGGATCGCCACCCCCCTCCGTGATGATTGAGTTCAAACCGGCTTTCTCTAACAGGAAATTGCTCTGTTAAAAATGAAGACAAAGTGTTTGTGGGATCGGGAGTCAATTTAAATGCAGTCTTCTTGCATGGGGTTTTCAGGTGGATTAATGCAACAAGGCGACGGGTCAACAGACTTACGGGTCAAGGGGCAGAAAACATGTCTGACTGGTCAATCCCACGAGCCAGAAAAATGTAGGTTTTTGGCTGCTGCAACCAGCCTGCAATACAGTGACCTGAATCAATCAATTCAGGGTTTGGTCAACAAAAGCGTAATGAGAACCCTGCAATGTTCAGAACGTGGCACCCGAGTTTGCTTGCTTTCCTCTTCCCTCTCCAATCCTTTTTCCTTTTGTGCTGTACCGTTTTTATTCTATTTTTTTGGTAAGCCTGAAAGGTAGAGACTGTGTTGTTTTCCCGACAGGCTAGCTGTTCTGCAGATGCTTTCTGGCGGAAGATAAAACACGGCGGACGAGCGAAGAAATAAAGGAATGCATGAATGAAGACTTGGCTGGTGTTATTCGGACGGCCATCTGCCATGCATGCTTCAGTTGAGATTCCTGCATTGCAGGGGGTTGGACTAGATGGCTCTGGGGACCCCTTCCAAGTCTATGATTCCGCAATTCTATTTTGAGCCGTATGGCTGACGCTGAAAACCGTTTAGGCCAGTTTAGAGCCAGGAATCGCTGGAGAAGGGGTGGAGACTGGCTGCCGTTGCAACCCCTCTCCCCTGACTTCAATGATGACAAAACCAAATACAGTGGTACCTCGGGTTAAGTACTTAATTCATCCCAGAGGTCCGTTCTTAACCTGAAACTGTTCTTAACCTGAAGCACCACTTTAGCTAATGGGGCCTCCTGCTGCTGCCACGCCGCCGGAGCACAATTTCTGTTCTCATCCTGAAGCAAAGTTCTTTACCTGAAGCACTATTTCTGGGTTAGCGGAGTCTGTAACCTGAAGCGTATGTAACCTGAAACGTATGTAACCCGAGGTACCACTGTACAGTGAGGGAAATAAGTATTCGCTCCCCTGCTAAATTTGCCCGTTTGCCCTCTGACGAAGAAATGACCAGTCTGT